TTTGAGACGCAAACAATTGGTCTCTTCGGTTATGACTGCTGTGACAACCATTGTTTTGAAGAGCTGAGTGAACTTGAGTTTGACGGGTCTTTACAATTTGCATGTAGGGAGGCATGGGAATAGTCTGGAGATCATCGTTGACTTTATGACAATATCAAGTCTAGCTCGTGTACATACGCCTGACATAACAGCCCGACAATGCTTGTATGGCGACATCCCGAGCTGCGCATCTTTGTGTGGGTGCGTTGATACCACCTCGGGCTCCTATCAGCCAGGCTCGGGACCTCGGGCGAGTATCCACCTCCACCACTTTCGGATATAGCCGCACCCTCACGAGGCTGGCTACACCGCGTCCAGATACCATGCATATGTTCATATACACGCCGCGTTCAATGGAATAAATGTTCCGTTGCTCACGATCAAAGACTCAACTCCCATGCTCTCACGATGATTGCTCGCACTCTCACTTCCTCGTACTTCAAAACGAGCTCTGGTACAAACACACATTACCTACGAGGTGGTGATCCTTCTGGTCCGCTTCTGGTATGTCTCCATGGGCTCGGGGGCTCTACCGAGACATTCTCGCCGCTGGTGCCTTCCCTACTTCCCACGCATAACATCATTCTTGTCGACTTTCCGGGTTTCGGAAAGACGCCACTAGCAGGCGTCAGGAAGCCACTTTCCGTCGAAGGGCTCGTTGTCGACTTGGCCGATCTCATCGCATCTTTACGAGAAAGCTCGAATGGCTCGGCCTCGTCCAAGGTTGTCATCTTTGGACATTCACTCGGCGCCATTGTCGCTTTGCACTATGCTGCGAAACATCCGCACCCTATTGGAGGTCTCATGATACTCGGTCCTGGTCGAGCGCCTGGTCACATCCCTGCTGTTCGGCAGCGCATGCTCGATCTTGCGACTGCGGTGAGGAAAGAAGGCATCAAGCATGCAGCGGATCTTGCGGCCAAGTCTAACTTCTACGACGATAGGTACGCATATGAGAAGCTCAGAAAGAAGTAGAGATCATGCTGACAAGATCTCTGCAGCCAAAACCGAACAGTGGATCCAGCAGCTCGAGAAGCCGTAAGGCTCGATGTGAGCTCTGCGGACCCAGAAGCCTATGCGCAAACATGTGAAGCTATCGTAGATAGTAGCCACAAAGACCCGCATTACCAAGCCATCACATGTTCTGTAGTCTTCGTGGCAGGAGATAAGGATATGATCAGCCCAGTGCAGCGGTCGCAAGATCTCAGTACATTGGTTGGGGGGAAAAGCTGGGTGCATGTTGTGGAAAGTGGTCATCAACCGATATTGGAGGATCTTTCTGGCGTTGAAAAAGCTGTGCAGCAACTAATGAAAGCCGTCATCGAATGAAACGTATAATTGCGCAACCCGACCACTCAAGTGATGCGCAACGTGGTTTTTATAATGTCTTGAGTGACGTTGCGCTAGGTACCGGCAGGTGGAAGGAATAACTGCGAGAAGTTACGCCAATGAGAAATCGTAATTTGCTAGATACAAAAGATCATCGAAGCTATTGGTACCTGCGAAGCCCGAGGCTGAGAAAGGAAATGCAGATTGCGGCTGTTCAAACGTGGTGGCGAGGCAATTGCTCTCTTCCGAGTAATGTGGAGGAGGTTGGTCAGTAGTAGATCCTGATGTGGCTGTAGGACGTGGCGAAGGGTAGCTGTCGCCATGGTTGGCCTGGTAGAAGTTCCTAACCAGGGCCGAGATGTCAATTTTGGAAGCGGGTGTACCGTCACGATTACGCTTTCTTCTTCTTTGAGACAAAGTCTCGTGCGACGCCTGAGCAAGCAAAGCTTTGAGAAGTCTGACGCCTCTAACCGCAATCATACTCTCTGGGCGCCGCTGCAGAATCTCTACGACCTCTTCAACAAGTGTTCGGTGCTCGAAACTTTCGTTCGCGTTGATCTCACGATGTAGTACGTCTAGCAACAGGGTGATGGATGCAGCAACCGCAAATGCTTGGTGAATCCACAAGGTGGGGCCATCTTCCCCGACCAAGGCCTTGTACTCCTTGACGATCGTTTTGGAGGCTGCGAGACATGTTCGGCGGGTGAACGCGAAAGCAGGATTGACGAAACTGTCCAGTAGAAAAGAACGATGAATCATGATGATCTTGTGACTCGACGTAATGGCTAGAGCGCGCCGCGCCCATGGTACCCACGTGGGCCAGCTCGGATCCAACGGTGCGTTCGTCATGAAAACTGGCCTTCCACGAGTGGCCAGTTCTCGAAGTCGCGCATCCCAATGCAAGACCGTTTCGTAACATGTGTAAGGTGTATTGCATGATACGAGGCCGTCCTGAAGCTGGGGCATGATTATCGCGATGTTGCGCAAAAATAAAGAATAGCTTGTAGTAGTAGGAATGTCCGCGTCAACGGCGGTCAAATCGTTGTCGTGGCTGTTCAGCGGTGGGGTTGATGTCGAGTATCTTGGAACGACCAGGTAGCTTTCCGAGAACGGTATGCTGAACCAGTCCTGACTGCAAAGTTGACACCAAACTCTACGGCCAGTCTCATTTGCTACGACACCTCCACTGGCGTCTGGCCCTAAGCGATGGATGCCCAAAGATTGAGCAATGCGTACAGCCGTTGCGAGATGGATGCTTTGCTTTGTACTGAACCCTAGGAGATGGGCTGAAACGGTTGCCGTGGCTATAGCTTGGCAAGAAAGAATGCTCAAGTTACTCGTATAGTCCGCCCGGTTAAGGCAAGTGAAAATAGCTTGATACCATCGTCGCGAGAGCTTCTGTCGCTCGGCCATGTCAAATCCCCATGATTGCGCTCGCAGATCGGGTGCGCATACAAGACTAGCGGCCAGAATAGCCAACAATAGAGCTACCCATTGGAGATCCGTAGTTGGTTGTTCGATGAGCCCATTATCTCTATCGTAGAAATCTCGGAGTTGCGCCTGGAAAGTAGGAACGAAGTAGCTGCCATGGTACCACAACAGGCTTTCGTGGTGGTATTCTACCAACTGTCGAACTTGGTGAGGGCTTGGAAGAAGTAGTTGAAGCACCGAAAGCTGGGACAAGTCATCAAATATGGATGAACCAACTTCAATCGGAACATCATCTGCGGGTTCGAGGGACGCGACTGTGTGACAGTGAGGCTCTTTCCTTCTTCCCCAAGCGAGGAACTCCAGTACCGTCGCGGTATCTCGAGAAACAGCAGCGTCGTCGGGCTCATCTGCGGACTCATCGGGAAGCCTATCGTTTGGTGTTTCAGGTTGCAGAGTTCCGGGCGGAGTCGCAATGTTCGTCGGGCTTCGCTGGCATGTTTCGCTTTCGAGCTGTGCGACCCGCTGTCGCAAATAGTCGAGCTCACATGATCTTTGGTCGGAAGGACGCGTTGGAGAGCTTACATCGCCATGCAAATCGTCGATACCGCACGTATCTTTTTGACCTCGTCTGATGCAGTTGTCGCAGGGTACCGTCTTACTGCACTTGACTTTCCGCTTCGCACAAGCTGCGCACGTCAACCTGCTTCGCGGATGAGATGCCATGCCAAGTCGAGATTAAGCGGACAATCCGGCGCCATAGTCGAGAAGGATGAAGTTTCCAGTGATAAACACGGAGGTTGCGGAATGGTCGCTTGGAGATAGCCCTGGAGCGAACTGATAAGCGTCGGCACTAGCGCCGGCCGACCTTCGGCTCTCAACCTCCCTTTCCAGGTGGCGCACGCTTGCATATCATCCCAACACGTCTCATTGCAGCATGAACACCTCCCATCAACTGCAGCAACACGATAGCGACATGGGCAAGGAATACATGCTTATCTATGATAGCGATGAGGTACGGTCCAATCACATCAAGATGAATGATAAGATCAGCCCAGACTACCCCATCTTTTACTCAGCGCGGTGCGACGTAAGCGTAGCTGTCCGTCTTTGACACTTGCCACGAGAAGCAGCACAGATATCCTGATTTCATAAGACGAGGACAGCTTGCTGCGTTTGTGCAAGATCGGACTCAGACGCAACTCCGCTGTACATTGTCGATCTCTCCGTTATCGCTAAACGACTCTTAATGGGCCCAGAAGAAGATTGCTCGAAGCACATGGGCGCATAACAGAACAGAAGACCCTCACAATGCACCTTACGGGCAGTATCCGCAGTCGCAGCCATGCTGCAAAAGAGAAGATAAAGCTTCGGATGACGCAGCCATCGAGCTGGCAACTTCCCAAGCAAAATAGCAGCATCGCACCGCCCGATGTATGGACCAATGCCGATATGGAGCCAGTACCACCGGAAAAGCGGACTTGGGGTAAGAGCGCATTCGTAACGTACTGGTTCAGTGACCTTGTCACCATATCGACTTGGAGTTCAGGGTCTGCCATCTTCACACTTGGTAAGTGTTCGATCGTCGAAGTCATCTTGAGGACATGGTATTGATTGGAACAGGTCTGACGGCAACCGATGCCGTGCTCATAACGCTCGTGGCGGGTATATGCAACGCTTTACCCACGGTACTCAACGGCGCTATCGGCTCGAACCTACATATTCCGTTCCCCATCGCGTCTCGCGCCAGTTTTGGATACTGGTTTAGCTACTTTGCCATTGTGAGCAGAGGTGTCTTGGCTATGTTTTGGTTCGGAGTTCAAACAGCCAATGGAGGTACATGTGTGACCGCGGTATGTTATACTAAGAATGGCCTGATGGATGCGTCTCCTGACATTGGTCCCTAGATTTTGAACGCTATCTGGCCAAGTTTTCGCAATATTCCCAACCATCTACCTGCGTCGGTCGGTCTTACGACGGCCGGGATGATCTCATACTTCCTGTATTGGCTCATCCAATTCCCATTCCTTCTCATCCCGACGCACAGACTACAGTACATGTTCTGGGTGAAGACAGTACTGCTGCCACCCGTAGCCATCGGAATGACAGTTTGGGTTGCTGTCAAAGCAGGCGGTAATGGCTCTTTCTTTACACGTCCGGCCTCGGTGCATGGCGCTGAAAGGGCCTGGCTCTGGTTATCGAGCATGACTAGCATCACTGGTGGATACAGCACCCTCGCTGTCAACATTCCCGACTTCTCCCGCTTCAGCAAGGATCCTACAGCGCAATACTGGCAGATGCCGGTAATTCCTTTCTTCAAGACTATGGTCGCTCTTATGGGAATCGTTTCTGCATCCGCAGCCCAAGAGATCTGGGGCACAGCCTATTGGACGCCACTACAAATCATCGATACCTGGGATACGCCTGGTGGCCGGGCAGCAGCTTTCTTCTGCGCTTCCATCTGGTTGCTTGGGCAGCTTAGCGTCAACATTAGTGCGAATGCCGTCTCTTTTGCCAATGACGTCACGACGCTAGCGCCAAAGTACGTCAACGTACGTCGCGGCTCCATTCTCGTCGCATTTGTCGGCGGCTGGGCGCTATGTCCTTGGATCATCGTGGCGTCTGGCAAGGCGTTCCTCAACTTCATGAGCGCATATGCCATCTTCATGGCGCCCATGGCAGGCATCCTCTTCACGGACTACTGGCTGGTGAAGCACAGGAAGTACGACGTCCCCGCTTTGTACGACCCAAGAGGCATCTACCGATACGGTCGCTACGGTACAAACTGGCGAGCTGTTGTCGCAACGTTCGTTACCATCATCCCTCTGTTGCCAGGCCTGGCCAACAAAGTCAATCCGGAGTTGAAGCTCTCGGCCGGTCTCCAGAACCTCTTCACGTTTAACTGGCTGTATGGGTTTTTCCTGTCCATCTTCTTGTACTACTTCTGCAATCTGTTCTTTCCTGCTCAAGAAACCCTCATTCCGCGCATCGTTACGGGGTTTGGGTATCTGGATGGAATCGAGGTTGACAGTGAGGCTGAGAGCTTGTCGCACTGTGGCGAGGCTAAAGCTATGCCTGAGGCTAGAGTGTCTCCTCGGTCTTCCAGCCAGGCTCATGACATCAGTAACTAGAGTACTCGAGCGGAATTACATGTTGAGATACAGAGGGAAATAGGTAGCATTATCTAGATATCATAGCCCATTACATGCAAACGCAGGATAAACGCCCAGTCAGTGACACCACCTACACACTAGAACATACTTGAAAGCCTGAACAAGGTGAACAGCAGCCGCGTAGGATCAAAACCCGAAGTCTTCCAGTTTCTTCCCATCCTCTAGTCCCAAGGTCCAGAGATCCACGTCGATTACTTCACCACCCCACCGAATACCACGTACCTTCCTGACCCCATGGTTTTGGAATCCAAGTCTGCGGAAGAGCCTCTTCGCCTCTTCATTCGTATCGTCGGTCAAGCCCGCAATCTCCTTCGCACCTTTCTCCTCGCGAAAGTACTTGATCAAGCCCTGGGCAGCTTCCGTCGCATATCCTGCAGAGATAGAGGTACGAAGTCAGTATATGTCTCACATGCATTTCGTACAGCTAGGACTTACCCTTCCCATGATACCGCTCCATCATGTTGAAGCCGACATCCGGCATGGTGGGTGCTTGCTCGCCTGCAACACGTCCTAGTTGCATGCTCACAATCCCAATGCGCTCTAATTTCCTCTGTGAAAATGGAACTCCGGTCTCCTCGTCACCTGCAGGCGATTCTGGTTTCAAGCTGATGATGTACCGCCCATATCCACTCGCACGAAGCTTCTCATCTCCAGAAGCGGCGATCTTTCGTACTGCTTCCAGATCTGGTACGTCTTTGATCACGCCAGGGTACCGTCGAACAGATGGAGCGCCGTGATAGAGTGCAAGGGTAAAGTCGCACTGTTCGTCAGAGGAGGGATCGAGATAAGAGAGGTAGAGACGTGGAGTCGAGATGTGGAAGTCGTAGGGTGACATCTTGAGGCTAAGAGCTGGCAAATCGACGTTTGGTAGTTGTATTCAAGCATCTACGCTCCCAAGCTTTATTATAAGCATTTCTTCGATGCGTCGACGGAATGCTAACACCGGCCTGGACTCGGATGAGTCACCTAGGCTGACCATCCAGGCAACCAGAATGCTGAGCGCTAGGTAGTATAAGGCAGCTCGTATGTCGTGTTGCTCGCATTCTGCGTCTTCTCTTCCAGATGGAGCGGTCTTCTACATGAACCCCGGGCGACTCTACTCCGGGCTCGCTGTCATTCGATCTCAAGTCCGGGAACTTTGTTCCGAGTATGCGCGCTCCTGGTCTTTCGACATTGCGACAGAGTCGGACATGTCTGAGGAGTCAGATTCTTATCGCAGGCATGAGTCAAGATATTGATGCCAGCGCGATAGCCTTTCATCGTGTCCCAGACGAGACTCAAAGAGACGCAAGAGTGACGTTACGAGAGGGTAGCAAAGCCACTAGGCTTAAAGCGGCAAGGTGTGAGATGATAGTGGGGAACCCCCGCCTTCCGATGAACTCTTCTTTTGATGGCTCGACACCTGGCTTCTTCAGATCTCCCAACGTCAAAAACCTAGAAACGACATCATGGCGCCACTTTCAGGATCCGCCAAGAAGAAGAAGCAGAAGGAGAAGGAGAGAGAAGTCCAAAGGCTCAAGGTCATTGAGGAGCGCCAAGCGGGGTCGGACACCAGCCCGGACGATGAGATTCCCGCTACCCAAGCCTACGGACCCTGGGACGAGCCAAAGGAGAAGTGGGATGCGCGTCTGATCGCTCAGCCCCCGAGCGACGCTTCGTGGGATGCTTTTGAGAAGCGTGCAAAGGCGAGGAAGGGGAAGGCTATCGAGTACCAGCCCGCTGCCGTCCCAGATGAGCAGACTATGCACGTAGATGCATCAACCAAGTTTGATAGCACTGCGAAACCCGTTCAAAAGATCGTCTTTGCTTCTGGCATCAATGTGGACGAGTATGTTCAACTTTGTCCAGATTCGTGTTAATTTATGCTGATAGTATTCAGCACCATCGTCGACGTCATTGCCAATGCAGATGCTACTTTCCGAAGCGCAGTCCGCGTCTTCATAGCCGGAGACGTCGAGAGGAAGGAGGCCATTGAACTTACCAGCGCCGGTGTAGAGAAGTTGACCAAAGCTTTGCCTCAACTAGAGATTATCGCTCTTCACGGTACATCGAAGCTCACGCGTACCGCATTCCCAACTATCCTCAAGAACTGCGCAAATATCGAATCCGTCACTCTCACCGTCGTCCAAGGCCAAAAGTCAAAGCGCATCCGTCTCAATAGCACACTCGACTGGTTGACAGATAAGACTTTCGTCCCGAAGTTGCGGTACCTCGAGTTCCGTGGCGTCTACCATGAAGCGTTCCGTCGCGAGTTCCTTGAGTTCCTCACAAAGTGCAGGCCTGCGCTGGAGATCGTTTTCGAATATGACAGGCCCGCTGTCCTGATCCGGGATATGGAGACTATCCCACTGGACCGCGTTCCTGCTGCCGGTAAATGAAGCACGATCAATTGAGCGAGATCTGTGCGGCTCTGAGCGGAATAGCCACCGCAGACCCAATAGGAAGACCATGGGATAAGCCCGGAGACATCGGTTCGCAAAAGATGCGGTACTCACTACAGCTTATGAAGCGATCAAAAAGCCACGTGCAGTCGATCGAAGATCATTACTGATCTGTCGATGACGAAGCAATAAATACAATGAATGAGAAAAGCGGCTAGTCTTAGCTGAAACAATTCAACGCTACAAGAGCTGCGGATCCGATGCACGATACTACGTATGATGTTAACTCCGCCACGAAGCGTGCGCAATACCTTTGTCATCCCGCTTGGGAAGCGGGAGTGACGAGAAGATCACGATTCTCAGTGGCAGTAGCCAGAGCGTTTTGCAAGCCGAGGTCTCACCAGTCCCAATGAACGATCTGTGAAGTCATCGCGAAGTCCACATGCTTGCACCCAAAATTTCATCAACAACTTCGTACGCCTGGTGTATTCTCATTATGCTTTACAACTAAGACATGGCACCTTTCTTACGTCCGATCTATCAAACTCCGACCGCGAGAGCGAGTGCGACGGGGAAGTGGACCCGGCCGCTGTCTTGATGGCACTTGTGCATCAGCCCAGGCGCTAAAGGGAGCTAACGCGGACTTTATGCACGCTGCTGACACTCTCAAAACAGAATCGCGCCAGAGTGAGCCTCACTACTTCCTTAACACCTTCAACAGTGTTGGGGCTATGCTGCTTCTCGAAGCGGGGCTCGAATACATAGGTCCGATTCGCGAGCTGTCATCGATCTGCATATATGCTCGCACCCGCTCGGAGGATGACATTCCCATACACAATTTCCCCCTGCCGACATGTCAGCAACTCCGATGCCATCTGGGTTTGACTGTGCAGATGCTCCCATTGAGTTAGCCTGGTCGTCTCAGCGACCCGAGCTCCGCGATGAGACGGAAGATTGGATGGGTGTGACCAATCCAGTGGAGAGGCGAAAACTACAGAACCGCTTGAACCAGAGAGCACGGAGTAAGTTGTCCTGCAGATCGACCGGCCAAAAGGAATAAAGTCGGTTCTGACATGTTATTAGGAAACCGTGCGCAAAAGAAAAGTGCCCCAGCCAAACAGCCCCGCCGTGTTGTCATACCAGACGAGGCCAACGAGAGCGACGCGTCGGGTCGTGAAGGCAGTTGCAGCACATCCGACCTATCTCTGAACGACCTTAGCGAACCCGATGCCGCAATAGCGCAAAGGTCATGCATGGCCGCCCACCCCAAGGTGCAGGAGCTAATGCGCCGCTTCTCCGAACACGCATACGCCAGCTACATGCAAGGCACACCCGCCCTGTCCCACTTACCGCTCCTACTCAAATACAACGTCGCCAGCGGTCTCGCACGCAACGCCGATATCCTGGGAGTTACTGCGCAGTACTACGATTGGTATGGCATCTCACCACTCAATAAACAAGGCCCGCTCCTAGGTTCCGACGCAGGGGCAGAATGGCCAGCATGTCTCCAACCCACCGAATTACAAAGCTCTATAGAGCATCATCCTTGGTTGGATCTTTTCCCGTGGCCTAAAGTGCGAGACAACATGCTGCAAGCGTTCCAACGAACGGAGCCTATCGACTACGAAGATGCGCTATGCCATGATATCTGCGAGTACAACCATCTAGACCGTAATCCCATACTGATAGTTTGGGGTCCGCCAGAAGACCATCGCAGTTGGGAAATCGATCCGGTATTCCTGGAGAAGTGGGGCTGGCTGCTGAGTGGATGTCCGGAGGTGTACGAAACGACAAATTATTGGCGTGCGACACGAGGCGAGAAGCTGTTTACGCCACAGCAATGGCATAACACGATACAGAGCAGTTTGCCGGAGGAGCTGCACTACGACGTTCATGACTGAGGCATCAGCAGAGCGCCCCCGTGAATCTGGATCTTGCATACATCATAGTCACGGATCGGAGAAGCGAGAAGGAAACGCGGCATGGTTGCGCTGCATCGAATGGTTCGTGATTGCACGTACTTGGCTGATGGCGACTATCATGGACCCTGTTCGCACGTCCGCAGAAGCCAAAAACCACTTCGGATGGCATCACGAGAACGGATTATTGCAAAGCAACATCACGGCCACGAGTGCAAAAAGCATGCACTCCCTCATGTGGGCTAGTCTCAGCAAGCTCGGAACAGATAGTGTGGATTCGGCGAACATACACTGGCGGGATGTCAGCGGCAACGGGTAGGCAGTATAGCATGTGGTTGAGAGCGGCGGACCAGCGATAGATCAGACGGTGGCTTAGATCTTTGCGCCACTTAAGAGTGTGAGACATGCGCCGAGATTATGAGTGAGAGAGGTATAGGGTTTGCGAAGAGATGAGGGCTGGGGTTGATAAATGAGTGTACTTGGCTGTTATGCAGCTTTGTATCTAGCAATAATGAACAGTATGATCTTGGATTATCGACATGTTGCCGTATCAGTGGGCTTTGTAGCGATGAATTGCCATTCAACGCTGTGTGCTCTCTTCCTTGCCGCCTCCGTCAGCATTGTATGTAAGTGACTAGCCATGACGCCATTGCCTAGATGTAGAACATGGTGTCCTTGAGCTTGGGATGGATCTGTACATCCGACGCGCTCGGGTCCAGCGCCCCACCCCCAGCGGCCGAAGAGTCAGCAACGGAATTCCCGGCGCTCGGCGTCGGTGTGTCGAATAGGTTCGCCAAGTAGCAACGAGCCCGCTCACAGGCCAGATCGGCGTAGTATGCTGGCGGGCACAGACTGACAGCCTTCGTCGCACGACCGAACAGATAACACATGTTGTGGGTGAGGTCTTCCACGATATCAGCAATGTTGCCAAACTGTGGCGGGACCACTTTCGCGTAGATCTGGCGGAAGATCTCGTCGTGAACGATATAGTAATGGCAAGGACGCGCTGTTCCTTGGAGGGCGGCGTGTGCTTGAAGGAAGAAGTCCCAGTTGCGGGCCTCTGTCACGCCCCGATCGACGACGGTACCAGGCTTCGTGTTGCCAGAGCTCTTTTCCCCAACACCATCGCAGTCTTTGTCCGATGTTGGGTAGAAGCGTGTCTTGTGTCGCTTACCACAGATAACAACCGTGAAGCGTGGAAGACCCTTCTTGGTATCAGGCGCGGGGTACAGTGCCTCGCATGCCTTTCGCAGCTGGGGAAGCTCCTGTGACAGCACCATGTCGTACTGTCCTTCTGATACTCCGTCGCGGTAGATGAGAATGTTCTCGGGGAATGCAGGGTGCTTGCCCTTGGTCTTCCAGAGGTTAAGACGCGACTTCAACATTTCGGAGAGATCATCGACGTTTTCCTGCCTTCCGCGCTGAATGCGCAGCGTCGCAGGCCATTGCCCAAGATATTTGTCGATGGAAGCGACCATCGCCGATACAGAAGGAGCGTTAGAAGCCGAGCCTGGAGAAGGGTGGGTCACGTCGATACCGACCACCATCGTCTTGTTTTGATCGATGATGCCAAGGCTCTTGTTTTCGACGATCTGGTTGATGCCACCGAGCTTCAAATTGAACTTCAGTGCGATGTTCGCAATGTACTGATCTCGGCCGCGCTCCTTCCAGAGCTTGGAGCCAACAGAACAGATCGTGTGAAGGCCATAGTCTCTATCGGCGAGTGTCTTGATGCGCTTGTATAGGGGGATGTTTGCCTCTGGTAGCACAATGAATAGGAGGTTCAAAGCACCAGCCGCTCTCTGTAGATACGGGCCGAGGGTGGGATCGTCTGGATGCTGTAGTTGAAGACGTTGTGGGGGAAGGGGTGGCTGGGCGTTGACACCAATCTTGAGCAAGCCTTGGTAGAACTCCTGCATCACAGCACCGAGAGCTTGGCCATCGAAAGAGTCGCGTTTACCTGGCATAGATATCATGACTGTGGACCATTTCGGTAGGGACGCGCCAGTGTTGAACTTGATGTTCATCATATTCCAACGGCCAAATTTCTGGTCGACAGGAGCAGTCTTGTCACCTTTGTAGATGACCCTTGGGCAGGTGAGAACTCGACCAGGTACTTTAATCAGACCCGGTGTGATGGTAAGACCAAAAGAGCGCTTGTAATTGTCAGCGAAAGGACTTCACAGCGCAAGTGGGAACTTACCAGCAGAACATTGGTGTCCTCGTCCAGACCGACGGTCGATACACCCTCATTGAGGATGGACCTCGCGTTCTCCCACGGCTTGCGTACGGCGTACTGAATCATAGTCTGTGTTTGGCCACCATCAAGCTTGGCTTTGGATGGCTGGCCCGGAACGACGACGCAGACCTCCGCAGGAAGGTACATGGGGTTTTCTCGGTTGCCGCAGTTGACGACGGGCAGCTCGGGGTGCTGGAGGACACGATTGTATGCTACATAACGTTAGTACCGGGATACCATGGAGGGAGAGGGTGACATACTCGTCTTGAAGAAATCGAATACAGTAATGTATTTTCCCGATCCAGCAGGCGCTGGGCCCTTGGGCTGGGGCTTTCCTTTGCCCTTGCCCTTTGCAGCACCCGCCTCCGCCTTGGGTGCGCCGGATGAGCCTGCGTCAGCATCGAGCCAGAACTCAACATCCTTGGCGCCTGCACCGTGACCCTTGATGCGTGGCCTGTTCGCCAGCTTATGCCCGTCATCCTTCCTGGCTAGACCAAAGATGGTCTTGATGCGAGGAATGACCTGCTTGGCTTTGTTCCGCTTCTCAGCCAAATGCGTGGTTTGGACGCGGACCAGCTTGAGAAACTTTTCCAAAGCAATGGTGTTTCGTGTACCGTAGCTGTGCATGAGGCCCGGAAGAGGACCAGAGTGGTAGAAGGCTCCATGACTGACGTTGATATTGACCAAGATGCGGCAAGTTGCAATGCGCACGCTGGAGAAGAAGCCGCGGATGACTTCGAGCCCTGAGCCGAGATCACCCCTTGTCGCATTCTGATTCAGGGAGAAGCTCTTCGATGAGCCTATCGTGGCTAGGTTATTGGCAGACTTGACGTAGTGGTTCAGGAAAATATTGAGCGCCTGCGTCAATTCTTGCTTGTCGCCCAAGGACTGGCTGAGGTTGGTAGAATTCATCCAGTCGACCAGCTCACCGATGCTGTACGTTCGGATATACTTGACCTTGATCTTGTAGACCGTGCCGTTGTCTGCTGGTTCGTCTTCACCTTCGCTGCGGTACTGAATCTCAATGATGTCTTCGTCATGCTTGAACTTCGTCTTGGAGACAAGTGTTTGACGGAAATCAGTCGCGACGTCGCCTTTGAGAGGAGCCATCTCCGATGACTGAAGCAAGAGCTCCATGACCCGGTGACGTTTCCTTCCAGCGGCTTCTGGTTGGACGTCAACATCGTAACGATACAACACCATATTGGAAGGTGGGAGCAGCTCAACATAGTTCGCCGTGAGCTCTACCTTGACACCTTTGGTGCCGTATCCGGGTCTCGTTGGATTTCCTTCTGATAGCGACAGGGCGCTGAGATCGAGGCCTTTCTTTCCGACAGGATGCAAAGTATCTTCAACTTTTGCGACCTTTGGGTCTAGCGGATGAGAGTTGCTGTACCAATGTTAATTCTGGACGAACCGAAAATTGATCAATACCTTACGGGAAGATCTGGATGCCTTGCTGGCCACCGCGGGGCGGTCCACCATACCCTCCTCTGCCGCCACCACGGCCTCCGCCTCTATCACCCCGAAACCCACCGCCTCGATCCCCTCGGAAGCCGCCACCTCCATAGTCGCCTCTCCCTCCTCCTCCACGTCCACCTCCGCGGTCTCCACGAAATCCTCCTCTTCCTCTGTCACCGCCTCGAGGTGCGCCTGACATAGTTGAATGGCTGAGTGAGGCTTTCGGACTGAAGAATTGGCGCGACGTGCGACGAGCTCAGCGATCTGTCTGACACGCTGCCCTTGTGGACTAGATGCTTTGGGATAAGGTTTTGTAGAGCAACCTTCGTATGAAACAGCGACACTGTTCCGATGGGAATGCTCGCAAGACCCCAAAGGCTGAGAGATGACGAGAAAGCGATGAGGCGAGGCATTGGCAGCAAACACGCTACTTAAGTGGGGCAAGCTACGCGCCGACCCACACCCCGCCCCGCGTCGTCTCATTCCACGTCGAACGCCAGCGCCCGACTTTCATTCCTTTCACTTCGCCAGCTGCCTGACTGCATACTCACCGGTTTGTTACGCTGCAGAGACCTTGCAGATGCCTATCAAGTATGCTGGTGCCTGTTCTTCCCCACGCCTGTAAGGTGTGCCAATCCAAACTGCTCCTCTACCTCCACGGCTACAACCGCTGCCCAGAAAAGGGCTCATGGGAGCGCATTACCGAACACGAATCTTCGACCGGCAACGAGTATGGATACTGGTTCAATCTTTATTATAATGAAGCCGTCGCATTGGCAAAGGGTGGCTGCGAATTGATGATGTGGCTTCTCACCCTTAGCCGGCGTGGAACCACAGCGAACAGTCAATTGCGCGCATACTTCACGCATAACTCCGAGGAACAGCTTGTGCTAGACTGGGTCAATGATATCAATCAATATACGGACGGTAAAGACTTTGCTCGCAAGCTAGTGCTGTGCGTCGAGGCTGAGTACGTCCTCCGTGGAACACGGCTTCTTTGCTAGATCAGTGCACTAATGATGCATGTGGCTCAGTAACGTAGCCGCTGCGGACATCAAACCCAGGCTGCCAAATCTGAATCCCGCATCCGCCGAAACCATGTCGACGGCTCGCGGGTGGCTGCAGACGTGCACCGCCACGCATCACGCATGCGGCAACAAATCCCGGCGCGCAACGACAGGCTCTGGTATCTTGAAACCTCGCCGTCTCATCAAGATCTTCAAAAGGCCTAAGGGCTCAGCCACGGATCCAGGGCTATGCCTGGTGGAAACGACAAACATTGAACGGCCAAAGTATGCTACCTTGAGCTACTGCTGGGGAGGAGATCAGCCAACGAAACTGAAAAGAGGCAACATAATCTCATGGCGGTCCAAAATCTCGTTCAGCGATCTTCCGCGTACGCTGAAAGATGCTATACTAGTGACGGCTGAACTAGGGCTCGAATACATCTGGATAGACGCTCTTTGCATAGTCCAGGACGACGATGGCGATAAGATTGTGGAGCTCGCCCGGATGGGCGACATATATTCGCATGCGCATGTTACACTACTAGCTTCCCGAAGTCCCAGGGTGCAGGATGGGTTTCTACAATCCAGATACATCCCCCGGGAAAGAGGTTTTCGCTTACCCTACCTTTGCAAAAACGGCAAGATAGGCTCTGTAGTCCTCTGGACAGGCAGAGACATGGGAAATGCTGAGCCAATCCACCAACGTGGATGGTGCTTCCAAGAACAGATCCTTTCACCCCGCATCCTAGAGTTCGGTACCCATCAGCTGCGGTATCTATGCACCGCCAATCGCACTGACGAAGTCGTCCCGGAGACAGACGGGTGGATCACGAATTCCGAAACGTTCGGGGCATACGGAAGTGGTCATTCGCTTGACTTACCAGCTCACTGGTACACTTTACCAGCGACTGGAACCGAGTTTCTGGATCTTTGGGAACGCATCGTTGTGCATTACAGTCACCTAAGCCTGAGCCATAACACTGATAAGCTGCGTGCCATCTCGGCTGTTGCAAGAAAGTTTGGACAGTCCTCATCTGTGCGATACTACGCTGGGCTCTGGGCAGAACACCTGCCGAGCCAATTACTTTGGGAAGTGGACCGTGTCGATCGGAGCTCAAGCAAACCCACCCGAGCCGCTAAATGGGTGGCTCCATCATGGTCTTGGGCATCGATAGAGGGGCCTATCAGCTACTCATTGATCGATAGCAATTCGATCGTGTGTCAGCGACTGAACGTCATCGTCGAGAATGCCACGTCTAAAGACGACTTCAGCGACGTGCTCGACGCTGAAATGAGACTTCGAACGTTAACCCTCCATGCTAAAATAGGGAAGGATGAAAGACCTTCTCAATCATGGGGACACGAAGCAGCTTCTCGGTCATGGGGGTTCAGTAGCAAGGCTACGCGTCATCGAGCCGACGAGGATGCGACTACCGGTGCACAAGAAGACAATTGGTCATCTTGGCATCCTACTTTCGTGGATCCGAAGTCTGGAAAAGCCTGGACCGACATACACGGTCAGTATGATGAACACACTGCGGGATGCGATACTGTGTTGCTGGCTCGTATCACCACAGGTCGGGGGCTTATTCTGGCAATGCAGCCGCAAACCAAGAAGTACACGCGCGTTGCTATTTTCCGGTTGGACGGATACAAAGAGGGTGACCGTCGCTGGGAGCAGAGGGATATTGCCATTGCTTAATACAGCACCGTTAGTCCTTTACCATGAATACTGTATCGTTCTCTTTCCGATCCATCGTAATAAGAGACATCCCGTGTTGTGCCTGTAATGCCTTGTTTGTTGTTCGCAAGGCAGATGCGGCCAGGCTGAGCGAAGAGAAATGACGAGACGACGAGACGCGGTGAGGCGAGGCAGCAAACGCGCCAAGTGGGGTAACCGCAAGCTCCGCCTTCCCCGCGGACACTTTTGACACGCGACGCGACCTTACTTGTGCACTCAGGGGGCGTCAGAAGTGGGGTCAAACGGGTTTCTAGCGTCCGCAGTGGTACAAAGATGAATATGGCAAAGGAACGATCGATGATGTCGGCGGCATGATGAACTTCTGTGGTCATTGGAGCGGAGCGACACTGAAAAGCACGGACATTCTTTTGTCTATCTCAATTCTTTCCGTTCCCCAGGTAGGATACACAAATTTTAATTGCGCTGCAAAAGGAATATCTCTATACTGGAGTCGCTCCCATTGCCCTGGAGCTCTCTGTACGCGTCTCCTTGTCTCCTTCCGGTGAAAGCCGCTCGGCTGGGTGGCCGCAGCCCTTGGTGCGACGGCTGTGGGGGCGGAGGAAGCTGTTTCTCAACGTCTGGCTGGGGTCGCTTCTCCATGGTCGCACCGCGCCGTATTTCGGGACGCGATTGGAAAGCTTGCATGCGATATGAGCCCTGCTCGGACTTCCCTGCCGATGACGATGACGTTGGTGCGAATTTGCCTCCGAGGAAGTTGTTTGATGGCCGGCGGCGGGACGATGCTTGCGATGTGTTGCCGAAGACGCGTGGGAACAGTTTGTTCATGAGGGGCTTGCAGCCTGGGAGACAGCCGCAGATAACACCTACACCGCTCTCTACCGACATGATGACGAATGTGGTAGCTCCGTACCCTGGATATTGTTAGTTGGTGATTGCGTACAGCTGTGATTCGATGGTGACTCACAGAAGACGTCGTAGGAGACGAGGTATAGGTGTGTATAGTAGAGTCGCACGACGCCGGCGATGCATACACTAATCCCATGTCAGCCTGATCCAAATTAGATCGCGAGAGGTCGACCTACATGACACCAAGCGAAAACATGCTCGTCAAAGTGACGCGCTGACGGAGCGATACTTGAACGTTCAAAAGGTTTCTCGCGGGCCATAGGAAGATGACGAAGTCGCTGAATGTGTTTTGCGCCGAGTGGAAGTAGTAGATCGCCTTGATGTTGAGGCATTTGGCTGTGTTGATGTACTTGAAGATCTCCCAGTACGTGCTGGCGGGTCTACAGTTGTTGTTAGCATGATGTGCAATGGTCGAGTTGATCGCGTTTGCTTACGAGCATTGGAACAGGGTGATGAAGAAGCAGGCCGTGTTCAGAGTCACCGTATAGAAGATCATCAAGCGGCAGAACCACTTGTCGAGCTTCGACGGAAATATGCCTAGAAAGATATTAGTGATTGCGCTGCCACAACTTCGCATACGCTGCGCACTTACGTATGTAGGTGAGAAGGATCGCAACCTTCATGAACGTAATGATAGCAGTGAAGAGCAACTGTGTTGACATGCCCATCTATACTGTTGTGAGCATGGTGACACCACTTCGTGACGCGCCACGTACTTGGGCAGCTTTCATCGTCCCGAAAAGTCGCTCAGGTCGGACGTCCCCTGATTGGTATCAGCTATGTCGCATGTAACAGTGTTACGATCTACTCACATAAGTGGTAGCCCATTTGGTAATCTGGCAGCATCGATATGATGAGCATGACGTTACTTCCAACCGACATCACCTACACAGGTCAGCGCTCTGCTCTCAGGTCGCCAGACGAATCCTTCTGTCACTTACAGCTGCCATCAGCATCGTCCAGTCGTCCCATCCCAATGTATTGACGAGCACTGTCCGACAGTAGAACCGACATGATATGAACCCAATGACAAGGACAGTCAGTGGAACCAGTATCGCCAATGCCAATGTGAGGTGGTTCGCCGGGTCGACATAGTTAGGCGGCGGAAACGATGCGAACTCCTCCGCGGTAGGAAATCTCGAAGTCATGATGAGTAAACGCCAGCAAAGACAGCCGCAAAAACAACATAAGTCCTCCGCGGGTACCAGAAAAGCATTCCTGAATCACTCGGGAGCGCCCGCGGCCATTATAACCGGCATGCTCGTAATAGGAGCCGGCATGCACACCAACTACCCCGCGACCTGTAGGAGCAGAAGTTGAAACTTACTTGAAGTGAGCTACGCACGTCCCTCGCATAGTGTGGGTGGCGCTTCGCCTGCCACCTGCTTGAAACGACACCATCGCCCGAAGGTCGCGACTGGTCCAGACACTTGCTCACATTTGTGCGGCTGAAGGCACCCGAGGCCGGGTCTTCCATGTTTTCCATGTGGCTT